ATCCCTCGTTACTCCTCTATCATAAAAACAAAACTACGGTTTATCTTCTGGTCTATGTTGATGACATTCTTATCACCGGCAATGATAAGAATGCCATCAATAGCATAATTGACAAACTCAAATAGGAATTCTCCATGAAAGATTTGGGTGCCGCAGCTGAATTTCTCGGAATTAAAATAAAACGGAATGCGGACCAAATATTTCTGTCCCAGCAACGATATGCGGAGCAATTTTTGCATCAGGCGGATCTCAGCCGCTGCAATCCGCTGGTCAACCCATCCTGTACCAAATGGCCAGCTGACGCGCCCACCGTCTCCTCACTCCAGGACGCCACTCTGTACAGAAGGCTTACAGGTTCACTACAATATCTTACAATAACCCGTCCCGACATTGCATTCAGTGTCAATCAACTTTCTCAACACATGCACGATCCCCAGCAAAAGCATGCCTACATGCTCAAACGTCTACTTCGCTATATCAAAGGTACGTCAGATTTTGGAATTCCTATAACTAAATTTAATCTTCGTCTTACTTCTTATTCAGATGCGGATTGGGCGGGCGACCCAACGTCACGTAAATCTACAACCGGATTCTGCTCATTTCTTGGCGACACACTGATCTCGTGGACTGTCAAGAAACAAACCACCGTTGCTCGTTCTTCCACCGAGTCCGAATATAGAGCTCTCGCAGCTCTTACGGCGGACCTCATATGGATTCGAAGGCTACTAAAGGAGTTTCAAATTCCGCAGGATTCACCGTCCACCATCTTTTGTGACAACACGTCAGCAATCGCCTTGGCAAACAACCCGGTCTTTCACGCTCGTACCAAGCATATCGAGATTGATCATCGCTTTATCCGCGATCTTATACACAACAATACTATCTGCATTTTACCTATTAGCACAGTGGATCAAACGGCGGACATTCTAACCAAGTCTCTATCCACGTCGCGCTTTCAGTTTCTTCGGAACAAACTGACGGTTCGACAAGTTCCATCAGTTTGCAGGCGGGTATTAGCAGAAACAAATTAAAGTCTGATGTATTAGCT